CTCCTCCCTGTGTCCTCGGGGGTCTCGGGGGAGGGGCGATGGGGACACAGGTGGCCGGTGTCGCCTCTGCAGCGCTCAGCCTGCCTGCGCGAAGCGGCTGCGTGAACCCCACCTCAGGGGGCTGGGCCAGAAAACAGCTTGGAAAGGGAATGCCATTTCTCAGCCCTGCTAGGACGCCCCCTCCATCTCCTCCCACCCTCCCGCTCCCGCACGTGTCAGCCCTGCCAGGACCCTCCCCTCCAGGCTCCTGCCCGCCTTCCTGTTGTCCACTCTGCCCCACTCCGCAGATGGGAGGTGATGGTTTCCCAGGCCCCTCTTTCCGCTCTACCCCCTGCAAAAGGTCAAGGAGGAAGGAGGGCAGGGGAGAGAGAAGCCTGGGCAGTTTCCAGCCTCCAGCCCCAGCCCAGGGGGCCTCTCTGTGCCCGTGTTGGGGGAGTGGGGGGTGTCACTGCGCCCCCACATGCCAGCAGGGACCAGGAGGGCCAGCTGCTCTGCTCTGGACATGCACCTTCTGCTTTGGCCACTTCTTCCTCGTTGTCCCTTCCCTTTCAGCCCAGCCCTCCCCCTGCTGTGCTGGAGCCAGCCTGTGCTGGCTTGTGAGAGCCCATCCGTGTTTCCAGGGATTGGAAAGCCAGGTGTTAAACACAGCCATCATTAAAAATGAACTTACGTAAGCCTGCGATTAAATAATTTATATTAAAAACAAAGGTAACAAATACTCAGAACCTGCCACTTGTAATCACTGTACCAGTACCCATGCTCTTGGGGTTGTCTAGACCTACTATACCTTCGTGGAGGTGATATTAGATCGTGTTTCACACCTGCACATCTCTTCCCATCTCCGGGGTTAGGGACTTCATGTTGGCAGCTTGAAATTGCTTGTGGTGAACGTATTTACACCATAGAAACTGGCACGTTACCAAACCAGGGCTTGATTTGTTTTCTTCAGTGTCTACTGGCTCTAGACGAGAAAGTGATGGGGGAAATGTTAAAAGTAAAGATTAAACTTAGAAGTGTGTCTTGGGTGAATATTTTTTTTAAAATATATTTTTATTGATTTCAGAGAGGAAGGGAGGAGCTAGAAACATCAACGATGAGAGAGAATCACTGATCGGCTGCCTCCTACACGCTCCCTACTGGGGATTGAGCCTGCAACCTGGGCATGTATGTGCCCTTGACCTGAATAGAACCTAGGACCCTTCAGTCCACAGGCTGACGCTCTATCCACTGAGTTAACCTAGCTAGGGCTTGGGTGAATATTAATGTATGTAAATTGTATCTCTAGTTTCAAAAAATGTCTGTAGCCATTACAATGTGAGTATATTACAAGAAATTGAGAGACTTGGGCTGGCATTCAGAAAAGGACTGATTGAGTAGTCACTCACATCATTAACAAATGAGTGAGGTTCTCACAGACACCTTCAGCTCGCTTTACTTGCCAACATAAAAGAAAACATCATCCAACATTCACGTTGGAACCACACTCATCTGTCAGTCAAGGGCAAGCATAGGTGGGCTATCAATACACCTGTTTGGAAAATCAATGAGAGCTTTCTAAGGGAATCGATGGGCTGTGTGCATACATGTGTATATACATGTGTATGTATGTGTGTGCATACAGATAAACATAGTCCCTCCTCTTCCTCTGGTTGGTTGATAAACATTTGGCTGGATGCTTCCTTCCCAAGGTTTGTGCGACGTTTTCTAATTTTCTCACTTTGCTGTTCTCCCAGGGAGAGCCCCTCTGGTGCCACAGGTGACCCCACCCTCTCTGCAGGCAGACCTCGGCCCTGAGCTGTCACTTGGATGTTTCCCATCCCCCAGATCACACAGCTCCCAGGCCAGGGTAGAGGTGGGGCCCTGGAGCTCCACGGGGCATGGTTTGGGTGCCCCCTCAGCAACGGGACCCCGTGGTACTGCCCAGGGGGGCCCACCACCTGGGTTGGCTGGGTATGTGAGCGAGACATCAGAGTTGGAAGCAGCTGAGGGAGTGATGGATAGGACACGGGGAAGAGAGAGGGGGATGCCCAACATGGTCTGGGGGAAGGGGACAGAGGTGATGAGAGGAGGCGCACAGAGGCTTTGGTGGGGGAGGATGGTGAACCGTGTGCTGAGCATTTTGAGTTGGAGGTGTCTCGGGACATCCAAGCTGGGAACAGACCTGGAGGTTCCCAGGAGAGGCTGTGGCTAGAGGTGTTTGGAGCCTTCGGGAAGATTGCAATGAAAGCTGTGGGTGTGTACAAGCTTGTCTCGGGCTGGAGGGGTGGGGGGTGATAGAGGGTTGGGTGCACCCTGAAGTGACCCATGGAGAAGCTAGACCGCAAAGAAATGCTGTAGCGAGTGTGGAGGCTGAGGGAGGGGAGGTTCAAAAAGGAAGGTCACCCAGCGTGAATGCCGAGAGGTGCCATGGGGCCGAGTTGTGGGAGGCAGGCAGACCAGTTGGCAAGCCCCTGCCAAGACCCAGGGACAGGGGTGTCGGGGGGACCTGGGATGAGAACAGTCAGCTAAGATGGGCGGGCAGATTCCAGACCCATTCCCAGGTTCAGGGGAGCTATCACCTGTGGGAAGTGGAGAGAGGAGGCGTCCAGCCTGCACCACAGGCTTTTGGCTTCTGTGATTGACAGCTGGTGTCCTTGGGTAAGTAGGGAGCCCAGAGGAGCCAGAGAGAGTGGAGGAAGCCTGCAGCCCGGGCAGAAGGTCTAAGGCAGCCGACCTCAGGCCTGAAGCTCAGCAGTGGTCAGTGCTGGGGAGCAGGTGGGTCAGCCCTGCAGAGGGGGCCTGGAGGGAGCTGCCTCCACGGTGGAACCCGGGAGTGAGCACACAGGAGCGTTCAGTGTTTGTTTGTGGAAGGAATGAGTGAGTGACAGAGCGACTGGCAAGTGTGAGCCCTGAAGAGCTGTCCCAGACGGGCGAGCATCAGGGGACAGAGGCTGAGAGCTCTGAGGGGTGACCGGCCAGTGTCAGATCCTGCAAAAGCCAAAGGCGCAGGGGAGGCGGCCTGCAGGTGCCGCTGCTCAGTTTGGCTCCAAGCATTGGGGAGGGCAGCTCGCTGAGTGGGCGGCTCCCACCGCTGCAGGACCTCGGGGAAAGAAGGGGAAAGGAGGCGAGAGAAGGCACCTTCCAGGAGAGGTTTGGTGAGGAAGGAAGGGGACACGCAGGCGGCAGCTGGACAGAACACCATTAGAAGACTGGGTCAGGTGGGGATATTTACATGCCGGCCTCCCTTCCTCCCTCATCTGCCTCTTCCTAGTTGAGTAGCCTTGGAAAAATCCAAAGGATCACTTTACTTATTTTTTCTGCATGGCACACATTTGAAATTTTATTGTACTTTTTACACAACCATTGAATACTGCTGGGCTCTAGTCTAGAGCTTTGGATTGTAAGGGTGAAGGTATATAGTTTGCAATTTACGTTTAGAGGCTGCCCACGGAAAGCAGCAACTGATAACCTAGTTACAAAAACCCATTCAGGACTGAGGCAGGGTCCTTGGTTGCTGTCAGCAATTGGTCCTTGATCAGCCTGTACCAGGACAAACAGCAACACGATCGGTTAAAAAATCTGGCTCTTGACCACTGATGATGAGTCACAGGCAGGAAACCTGGCTGGTTGCTGCAGCTCACGTCCACCATCTAGAGCCAAACAGTGGATCGGAAAAGCCTAGAGGCACGATGGTTATTTCATGTCTCCAACCCTTTCTCCAACCCACCTTCTGGATGCTTCACTCGAACAGAGCAAAGGATCACTTTAAGCTAAGCTCCTGCTATGATCTAAATCCCGTATCTAAATGGGATTCAACTTATAGGAACTTAAACACAAGCCTGGAAAATAGGAAACGTCGCTTTCCCATTCTCTGACCTCAGGCAAAGGGAGCTGGTGGATTCCAGGGGCTGAGGAGACTGGGGGGCTGAGCAGGGAGCCTGGAGTCCCAATGCCCCGACAGCGCTGCCAGTGGCGAGTGGCGAGGAAAACTAGGACTCAGTTTTACAACATCTCATTTTATTACAAACCCGTCCTTGTGTCCCAGAATCAATGGCTAATACACAACCCAAAGCACTCCGAAAATCGACCATGTTAACATTCCCATTTCTTTCTCAGTACTTTAGCTCAAAAGGAAAAAAATCTTTATAAAATCCCAATCACCAAGTTGGTACATCCCAGGAAGAGCACCTTAGTAAACAACAGGAAACAAAATGTGTCAGGAACCCGGCCAAATGCACACAGCAGCAGGGGAGACTCCCGATGGGAAAGAATGACTCCCCGTGGGATATAAATATAGGGCGTCCCCCAAAAATGTAGAGAGGCCAGACTCCCGATGGAAATGAACGATTCCCATTGGAACATAAACGCACTTTAACAGCTGACAACTCACTTAATTCCCTTTTCAGGTTTAATTTATTTGAAGCAATGGGTGAAGCCAGACTAAGCTTTGAACAAAAAGAACTTACCCACCAGACTTTTTAGGGGGATAAAGGATGACGTTTACGGCACGAAACCGGCAGCAGTCGAGGAATCGAGGGCAGGTATTGAGAGAAGGAGCACAAACACCGAACGAAATGGTTCTCGATGTTGGTGATTCCGCTGCGCCACAGTAGCTGTGGTCCAGGCACCGTTGCCGGTTTCGTACCGTAAACTTTTATCTTTTATGTGAGTCTAGGGGGTAAGTTATCTTTGTTCAGAGCTTAGCCTGGCTTCACCCATTATTTCGAATGTTAACCTGAAAAGAAGTGAAAATTGAGTTATCAGCTGTTAGTGCGTACATTTTTTGGGGGGGGACATCCTGTAGATCCCCATCAAAGTATATATATATATTTCATGAGTGTGTACACATATATGTAATATATTAAAGAAATTTGGTTTCTACCACAGAAATTATTCAGAAATAAATCAACGTCTCACCCTCGATGTGGGGACACTGGGGTGCTGCAGCCACATCCCAAATCAGGCTGCACCTGCCTCTCGCGCCCCCCGCCCCTCGCCCGTACACACTATGTACACTTGCTGGGAGGGGGCGGGCAAGGCTTCTCTCTACTCCACCCCCAGGCCGAGCAGACCCAGTGTTTATAGATAAGTGAGCAGGGGAGCCAGCTGGAGAAGGCAAAGCCTGAGGCCACCTTGGCCGTGGCGAAGTACATGGGGCCCCAGGCCTGGCTCGACAGCGCCCTGGGTTAACAGTGAGCCTGACTCCAGGGTCTACCCAGGGCCTCCAGGTCTTTGTAGTGTGGCCGGTCTGGGCTCTTCCTAGGATCATCTGGCTTCTGGGAGAGGGAGTAGAGTTTCCCGACCAGGGCTCAGCCCTGAGAGCATGTGTGTATCTGCTCACCGTCACACGCACACTTTCATGGAGGTCAAGCTGCAAACAAGCGTTTTAAGGGGCACGTTCACATAGTGTCTGCCTCGGGGAAGTCGGTCTGTCATTGCAGTGTGAGCGTCCCCAGGCCAAAGTGGATTTGTTCAGAAGATACGAGCGGCTGGAGGGTCAGACACGTGTTCCACACCTTGGCACAGCGTTCTCACTAACAGAACGAATGGAAGAGGCACATGGGGACCCCTTTCCTCATTCTACAGCCCTCTCCTGGCACCACAGGCGGACAGGAGAGGCGGCCGCGGTCATCAGAAGGCGCGTCAGTAGTTTTAAGGCTCGGGCTATGGGGCCAGGAGACGAGTCACACACAGCCGTACTCGTACCACACAGTCTGCTGGTCCCCACCCGGCTCTGGGGACGCCGGCATGCTTTTTGAGTTGTTCCCACGACTGAAGTCCTCAGGGGCCCGGCTGGTGCGGGGAGCCAAGTCGGGAGACCTGCCCGGGCTCTTGGCAGGGAGCCCCTCTCTGTGGGCCTGTCCTGGGGCCCCGTCACCCTCTGAGAGGCTGAGCCCCACCCGGACAGGCGCAATGGTGGCCACTTCCCCTGAGTGTTGGGGGGTTGGGGGCCTAGTCCTGACAGCTGGGGCTGGGGTTGGTGAGCGGTGGTGGGGCTGAGAGTTGCTGCCACCACCGCCTCCAGTGGCAATGGCTGGGGCCGTGGCGGATTGTGGCAGGGGAGCCAGCCTCTCCTCCTTTGGGGGAGCCAGTGAGAAGCGCCTCATGTCCAGTGGTCGGCTTCGGGGACCCGGGGCCTGATAGGAGCCACCAGCCTTTCCCACAAGTGGGGTCTTCTCCCGGGCCAGGCTGTGGGAGCTGAGGGGTATGGGGCTTTGCGGGGTGTGGCTGCCTGTTTCTCTGCCCCCTGAGGCCTCAGAACCCCCTGGCTTCAGAGGAGAGTCCTGTTTGGAGGCCTCTGGCCCGCTGGCTCGAAGCAGGTCAGCTGAGGCCAGGCTGAAGGCCCTGCTCAGGGACGCGCTCCGGCTGGCAGGCGTGTGGGAGCTTGGGGGCATTGTGGCCTGCCGGGGTCTGCCCAGAGAAAGGCTCTGGGGAGGCTGGGCCGGCCTCAGGGGGGCACTGGGTGGGGTCTCAGCGTCGGCAGGTCTCAAGTTGGGCTTCACATACTGTCCCGGCTTTAGCAGCTTCCCCTCCGAGGTGCTGACAGCCATCTTGAGGGTGGGGGCCACCAAGCTGGTGGGCATCCTGGCCCCTTCTCTCCTGGCAGGTGGGCCTGGCTGGCCTCCGATGGTTGGGAGGTCACTGGCCTTTCTGAAGTAGTCACTTAGCAGGTCATCCCGGCAACCAGGAGGGTCCTATAGAGAAGAGAGGAAGAACTGAGAGGCAGGAGTGAGGGCCAGGAGGGTCCTTGGAGGTCAGGGGTCGCCGTGATGGTGAGGGCAAAACAAACCCCACCCCCAAGCAGCACGGCTGTACGGTCTTACGGAAGCGGTGGAGGTTCAAGACTGAGAGACCACAGAGGTAAAAAAAAAAAAAAAAAATCTTGAGATTCAGTGCCCTCTACTGGAAAATTATAAATAGACCTCTTCAGCGATAAATGCATAAGCAAAGAAGGACAGCAAATACCATGGAGAACCACAGCAATGAGGATGACTAGAAAGAAAATGACAAATCCCCAGAAAGCAGGCTGGAACACATGGAAATATGTGATATAAATAACAGAGATTTCAAGATTAAGGTTCTGAAAATACTCAATGAGATGCGAGAAAATACCCACAGGCAACTCAGTGCACTCAGAAAACAAATCAATGAACAAAATGCGTACTTTACAAAAGAGATGGAAACATCAGAAAAGAACCAGTCAGAAATCCAGGAAATGAAGCATGCAATTAAAGAGATTAAAAGTGAACTACTGAGCACAGAAAACAGAACCAACCAGAGGAAAGAATTAGTGATATTGAAGACAGGAATCAAGAAATGATGCAGAAAGAAGGAGAGAAGAGACCCAAGCATAAAGAAAAATGAAAGCACTCCGGAAACCTGACTCCATCAGAAAAAGCAGCATTAGAATTACAGGCATTCGGAGGAGGGAAGAGGGAGCATGGAATGGAGAGCCTATTCAAACAAACAGTGGATGAGAACTTCCCAAATCCATGGGAAGAACTAGATCCTCGAATCCCAGAAGCACACAGAACACCTAGTTACCTCAATCCAAGAGGCCCTCTCCAAGGCCCTTGGTATTGAAGCTGTCAAGAATTAACGACAAAGAAAAATTCTCAAAGTGGCCAGGGGAAAAAAGGAAGTGACCTACAAAGGAAAACCCATCAGAATTTCATCTGACTTCTCAGTAGAAACTCTACAGGCCTGAAGAGAGTAGAACCAAATATTCAAGGGCTTGAAAGAGAGAAATTACCAGCCACGAGTAATATGTCCAGCAAAATTATCCTTTAAATATGAAGGAGAAATAAAGACGTTCCCAGACATACAGAAGCTGAGGGATTTTATCACCAGAAAACCCCCATTGCAGGAAATACTCAAGGGACTTATTCTACCTGAAACAAAGAACATAAGGTCACAACACTACGAGTAAGACCATCGAAAAACTTACAGCATAAACAGGGATAATCTGTGACAACAAAAACATAAAAGGGGAGGGGGGGGAGGTCTGAACTGGCAAAGGAAGATGAAAATCAGATGCACTCAAAAGAACAAAAACTACGTTATATATGCAACTTCATTTTTTTATAAACCTAATGATAACCACACACAAAAATCCCCAAACTAGGACATATAGCTTAAAAAAAGAGGAAACCGAGGAAAGATGAATGGAATACCACCAAAAAACCCCAGATAGAAATATAAAGGAAAAGAATCAAGGGAGGCAGAGCTACCAGGAAACAAAATATAAAATGGCTATAGGAAATCCTAATACATCACTAATTACCCTAAATGTAAATGGTCCGAATTCACCAAGAGGCACAGAATAGCAGAGTGGATCCAAAAACAAAACCCAACCATGTCACCTACAAGAGGCACATCTAAGCTACAAAGACAAAGGTAAATTCAAAGTAAAAGGGTGGAAAATGATTCTCCAAGCAAACAAGATCCACAGAAAAGCAGGTGTATCCATACTTATATCTGACAAAATATATTTCAAGGTAACAAGAGACAAAGATGGACACTTTAATGATAAAGGTAACATTACATCAAGAAAACGTAACACTTCTTAATATATATGCACTCAACCAGGAAACGCCGAAATATGTGACAACTACTCACAGAACTAAAGGGAGAAACAGATCAAAAGACAATCATAGTTGGAGGACCTTAATACTCCATTGATAGCTCTAGACCAGGGGTCCTCAAACTTTTTAAAGAGGGGGCCAGTTCACTGTCCCTCAGACCGTTGGAGGGCCAGACTATAGTTTAAAAAAAAACTATGAACAAATTCCTATGCACACTGCACATATCTTATTTTGAAGTAAAAAAACAAAACGGGAACAAATACAGTATTTGTATTTGCATGTGGCCCGTGGGCCGTAGTTTGAGGACCCCTGCTCTAGACAGATCAACCAAACAGAAAATCAATAAATAAATATCGGCCTTGCCCTAGCTGGTTTGGCTCAGTAGATAGAGCATCAGCATGCAGACTGAAGGGTTCCATTTTCAATTCTGGTCAAGGGCACATGCCCAGGTTGCGAGCTCGATCCCTAGTAGGGGGTGTGCAGGAGGCAGCCGATCAATGATTCTCTCTCATCATTGATGTTTCTGTTTCTCTTCCTCTCCCTTCCTCCCTGAAATCAATAAAAATATTAAAAAAAATAAATAAATATAGACCTTAAGTGAAACACTAGACAAAGAAACATAATTGACATTTATAGAACCTTTCATCACAGAACATCAGATTATACATTTTTCTCCAGCGGACATGGAACGTTCTCAAGGTTAGACCACATATTGGTCACAAAACTGGCATCAACAAATCATGAAATTGAAATTATACCAAGCATATTCTCTGACCACAATGCCTTGAAATTAGAAATCAAATGCAAAAAGGAAGTAAAGAAACTCACAAATAGCCTTAGCCAGTTTGGTTCAGTAGATAGAGCGTCGGCCTGCAGACTCAAGGGTTCTGGGTTCGATTCCTGTCAAGGGCAAATGACCAGGTTGCCAGCTCGATCCCCAGTGTGGGCATGCAGGAGGCAGCCCATAAATGATTCTCTCTCATCCCTGACGTTTCTATCTCTCTCTTCCTCACCCTTCCTCTCTGAAGTCACTAAAAATATATATATTTTTTAAAAGCCTCACAGATACATGGAGATTAAACAACATACTACTAAAAAATGACTGGGGCAATGAAGAAATAAAAGATGAGAACAAAATATATAAAGAGACAAATGAGAATGACAATATACCATATCAAAACGTCTGGGATGCAGCAAAAGCAGTAATACACTACATTATCACATGATCTTATCAATAGTTGCAGGAAAAAGCATTGGATCAGATACAACATCCATTTATGATTAAAACGCTCAATAAAATAGGAATAGAAGGACAGTACCTAAACATAATAAAAGCCATATGTGATAAAACGTCAGCTAATATCATACTCAATGGTGAAAAACTGAAAGCTTTTCTAAGATCAGGAACGAGACAAGAATGTCCACTCTCTCCACAAGGACATGTGCTGTAAGTTCTAGCCACAGCAATAAGGCAAGAGAAAGAAAGAAAAGGCAGGGAAGGAAGAAGTCAAATGTCACTTTTTGTGGATGACATGAAAACCCTAAAAACTCCACCAAAAAACTGTTAGAAACAATAAACAAATACAGTCAAGTTGCAGGATACAAAACCAAGGTGCAAAAATCCATTGCCTTCCTGTATATTAACAACAAAACTTCAGAAGAAAAAATGAAAACAAACAAACAAAAACAATTCCTTTTGCAATTGCAACCTTCCTCCTGATCTGAGAAAGGCCGTGGTGGGAACGAGCGAGGCGGGCCCCCAAGGGGAGTGCAAGGCTGAGCCGTGGGTGGCCACCTGCCACTGTTTCCTTCACGCTGCTCCCCCGGCTGAGCAGGTGCCCGGCTGGGCTTCCCTGGCCAGAGAACCAGTGTCCTTTCCCACCACGCTGGGCAGGCAGAGTCAGAAGCCCAGGCCTGACCCTGCTCTGGTAACTGCAGCCCCCGGCCAGCACCTCACAGCCTGGAGGGGCCTCGTGGTGTCTCCTCCACGAGAAGAGGCAAGGAAGGGAGAGCACTCGGAAGATGAGTCAGCGTTCACCGGCAGGAGGAGTCAGGCCCCGGCCGCTAGATCTGTGTCAGGCGGTGTCAGTCTCGGGGCGGCTCAGCAACCCAGGAGCCACCTGCACTTGCCAACAACTCCTGGCCCGTGAAGACATCTGGACACTCAACCTGAGAGACACCTTCTGCTGCTTTACGTGCTAGTTAGGAGTCACACATCCTGGGCGTTCGTACAGTCAGACCTGTGGTCATTAATATCAACAGGGACCACTTACCAACTGCTTCCCAGGGGCCAGGCACGATGCTAGAAACCACAGGTATAACTGGGAAAGAACAGAACAAAGACAACCCCCCAACTCATTCAATTCTCAAAGCAACCTTGCAAGGCTGTATTAAAACAACCTTTCATAGGCAAGGCAATTGAGGACAGAGGTTCAGCAGGTCCCGCATCTAGAGAGTGGCAGATCGGGGATTTGAACCCACAGCTGTCCGACTCTGCAGCCGGCTCCTCTCTGATCCTTTCTAAATCTTTGTCACCCACCTGCATGAGTCCACCCTCTCTGGCCACCCATTGGGCCCCTCTTATGACACCCCCTCCACCCCCTCCCAGCCAACCACACTCAGGGAGTGGAGGTGTTGAGTGCGGGCACTGTTGTGACTACCACTTCCTTCAGGCCTGCTTGGGGGAGGGGGGAGGCGTCAGGTTAGTTGGGGGGCACACGGGGGACACGCTGGGAAGACGGAGGAAGGTGGAGTGGATCTCAGGAGCTGAGCATCAGCTTCCACAACAACTCCTGCAGTGAGGTTGTTTGGGTCCCATTTAGGCTGAAAAAGATAAGGCATCGTCTGGGAAGCTGGTCATAATGCAGATTCTAGGGGAGCCCCACCCCAGAGCTCCTGGGGTCCAGCCTGTGTCCAGGCAGCCCAGGGGAGCATGACACCCGCCCGAGTTTGAGAACCTCAGCATCAGACTGTGAACGTAGTGAGGCAGGGCTTTTGTTTCTCTCCAGCCCCTGGCATAGCGCTTTGCAGATAGAAACAGAAATGACGGGAGGGCAGAGGCCATGCATATACTTCCTTTCAGGGCCAACCAGCAGACGAGGCACCTAGCAAGTATGTGATGGAACTTGCTGATGAGCTGGTTTACTTAGTGTTTTTGAGCAGGCATCATGCGTGCTGCCTAACATGTAGTCCTGCTCAATAAACATCGACTGAATAAGTAGTTTGTATTCTGTGTCACTGGGCTCTACTAAAGCAGGCCGTAGGATTTATATCGACTGAACAAATAGTCTGGATTTGCCGTGTCACTGGGCTCTACTAAAGCAGGCCGTAGGATTTACTATGTGGCCAGAGAAAGTTCAACTGTGTACGTTTAAGGGGAACGAGACAGAATTACCGGAGCCCTACAATCCTCCGAGGCTCTCAACTGTAACTTCATCCGTGCAGGGACCCAACAGCTCGTGGCAGGAAGTCAGACAGACTACAAGGCGCACGTGCAGCGTCAGGAACGCTACCCCGAGACACGAGGGTTTCCTACTGCCGCTGCCGTTCAGGGCCAGAGCTGCAGAGCAGCACTCAACCAGCTCGCGCTGCGGGCCAACTCCTGCTCGCCACTCTGGCCTGTGAGCGAAGGATGGTTTTCACATTTTTAAATGATTAAAAACTTTCATGGATAGACGCCTTGGCCCGCCACCTGCCCCAGCGGCAGAGTGGAGTTTGCAGCAGAGACTGCACGGCCTGAAACGTTTACCATCTGGCCCTTCCCCGAGAAACCTCTGCCAGTGAAGAGTCAGAGTCAGCGGGTGCTCCGAGCTCTGCCACACCCCGAGCGGGAGATCCTAACTCTGCATGTGGGCGCCGGCCGCCCCCTGCAGGGATGCTCCAGGGGGTGGGCACACACCTCCCACCCTCCTGCTGGCATTACGTTTCCGCCGCTCACGTCAGATGAAGAAAACAGCCTCCCAGGTCTGGGCTGGCGGCCAGCGCATGGTCATTTTCTGGCTAGGGGTTATGCCCCCCCATCTAAGCCAGCTCTGCAGCCAGGCTACGCTGCCCCAGCCTGTCCCTCTCTGTGACTTCGCTGTCAAGGTCTCTGCCTCTGGTGCCCGTCCATCTGAGGGGAGCAAGGAAAGGGGGAGCGAGGGAAGGGGGAGCGAGGGAAGGGGAAGAGAGAGCTCCGGTCACTCACAGCGGTGGGGGAGCCCCGGTTGCTTTCCTCCAGGAACTCCTCCAGGGTGACCATCTCCCTGCTCGGGGAGGCGCAGGGCCGCACCCAGGCCTGGGGCTGGGCCACACCCCTCTTCTGGATGCACTCCTGGGGGAGAGGCCCGTTCCGGGGTGGCGGGTACTCCTGGCGGCTGAGGGCAGTGCGTCCTGGGGCGCTGGCATCGCGGGGCAGAGTGGCTGTGTCCCTGCTGGGAATGAGGTCCTCACTGCTGAAGCTCTCGGGCCTGCGGTGGAGCGGGTCGGAGGAGCCTGGTGCCAGGGCGAGGGGACACAGAGGGACACGCGTCAGTCTCCCACTCTCGCTCGCCCGCCTCCCGTGGGCTCCGTGCTGCCTGCAGCTCACGGAACAGAGCCCTGCCCGGGAACCCAGGCTGGCATTGTGGATGTCAAGGACATTCTGGAATTCTTTAGAAGTTCACGCTGGCATTTAAAAACAAAATAACTTGGGAAAGAAGTGGAAAGCTTCTGCTCAAGCTTCAATTATCAACAGCTGTAAGGTATCGCACTGGATCACTCTTGAAACAGTGTAGTAGACAGACCGTATTCTGCACCATTAAACAAACTGTAAACACTGTAAAGCAGCGGTTCTCAACCTGTGGGTCACGACCCCTTTGGCGGTCGAACGACCCTTTCACAGGGGTCACCTAAGACCATCCTGCATATCAGATATTTATTTACATTACGATTTGTAACAGTAGTCACATTA